GGGGTGGTTACAGCAGTGGGAACAGAACAACTGGCAAAGAAGGGGTAAACCTATTTGGGCTGCCGAGCTGTGGAAAGACATTGCTGCCCGAATAAAGGATATGGTTGTGAAGGTGCACCATGTAGATGCTCATGTGCCCAAGAGTCGGGCTGCTGAAGAACAGCAACATAACCATCAGGTGGATCGAGCTGCCAAAATTGAGGTGGCTCAAATAGACCTGGACTGGAAACACAAGAGTGAATTGTTTCTAGCTCAGTGGGCCCATGAGACCTCGGGCCATCAAGGGAGAGATGCAGCATATAAGTGGGCTAGAGACAGAGGGGTGGAGTTAACTGTGAATGCCATTGCACAGGTAATTCATGACTGTGAAACATGATCCACAATTAAAGAAGCCAAGAGGACGAAACCCCACTGGGGAGAAGGGCGATGGCAAAAGTATAAATATGGGGAGGTGAGGCAGGTTGATTTGACTCTGCCACAGACTTGCAACCACTGGGTGGCTTGAAACATATGCAGTACTCCATGCCACCACCCAAAACACCATATTAGGTCTCGAGAAACAAGTCCTGTGGCAACATGGCACTCCAGAAACAACTGAGTAAGGTAATGGGATTCAATTTAAAAATCCTCTTGTATATATTTAGGGCAAAGATCATGGCATTGAGTGGATTTATCATATCCCCTATCATGCACCAGCTTCTGCTAAAACTGAACGATACAATGGGTTGTTAAAAACTATGTTGAAAGCAATGGGTGGTGGAACATTGAAGCACTGGGAGAAGCATTTGGCAGAAGCCACCTGGTTAGTCAACACCAGAGGATCTATCAATCCAGCTCCCTACATACTGTAGAGGGAGATAAGGTCCCTGTAGTACATGTAAAGAGCATGCTGGGGAAAAAGCCAGTTTGGGTCTTCCCAGCTTTAGGCAAGGGCAAACCTCTCCATGGACCTGAATTCATTTGGTGAGTAATGTAGAAAAATGGGGATGTTCAGTGTGTACCACAAGGGAATTTCATGCTAGGGGAATGTAGTCAGTAATACCATGTGTGTGTGTGTTTAATGCATGTTAATTATTGTTTGTATATGTTGAGCATGATGTAGTGATGTGGAATAAGAGATGGAATGTCATGGTTTCATGGCTACCATCAGTATTTTGCATAATAACATGCAATATACTGGGAGTTAAAGAGTTAATGCTGTAGTTTCGTGGATTGTCAGTATTTCCAATCTCTTCGTCTCAGAAGAGAATGAACTGCAACTCCCAGAAGACTTCATTTTTTCCATTTCCGTTTTCCACTTGCAGGGAAAGATAAAGATTTCCCCCTTCTTTGCTCCCTAGCTGCTTCAACTACAGCATTAGAGTAAGGATGTTGGTTTCAGAACTGTCTCATTTTATTTATTAGCTTCACTTCCAATCATATTGCATTGTATTGGACTATCTCACATTCTGCTACTCTATTTAGAAAGTGTTCCCCCTTAGGTCGTTGCCATCACTTCCCTTCATCGAGGCCCATCTCCCTCCTTTTTCCTTCCCCACAACTTCCCAGGGCATGGATTCATGGGCCCCTCTGCCCCCTTGTCACAGCCCATACATGACATTGTATGATGAAGCTAAATGTACACTTCAAAAAAGACAGTAAAGTTTTCTACATTTTATTTATTTCACATGGATTTATTTCAGTCAGGGGTCTACTGAGAGAGACCTGGACATCAAGCAAAATCACTATACAGCCCAAGTATTCAAAAACAAATGCCTCAAAGTGTGGTTCTGCCTTATATATTTGAATGTGAGCGCATGGTGCACAAAATATTGGTCAATGAAAACTTCACCTAGTGCTTAACAAGATACAGCTAAGGATACAGACTGCTTATGTAGATGCTAATAAATAAATAAAAGCAGCATACAGAAGTATGTCTGAATGTACCATCAGAAAACACTTTGACTCAGTACCAATCAAAAACAAATAACTGAAATACTAATACTGAATAACCGAAACACTGCTAATGAGCAAGATTCACTTTCATAATGTGGCTAATTTACATCACAGAGATCTAAGTACAGATGATGACATTCATAAACATTTAAGAAGTCTCATTATACTGCCAGAATGGGATAAAAAGACCATAAATATGAGTGAGAATAAAAATGAGACACAAGTCTACTATGAACTTAGCTACTACCTATGGGCAACTTAAGAACCCTTTTCTAAAGTGTACTATCCCAGCTGGAATTAACCAGCACTCTCATCAGCAGTCTCAGCAAAGAAGCTAAGAACTGAAGAGGAAAAAGTAAATCACTTTGCCTCTAGAAGCTGCTGCCTGATGCTCAAGGGCACAGTGAAAAAAGGAAGACGTTATACCATCTTTAGGGAAAATTTACAGTTTGTGAACATGAATTTCATTCAGAGAAAGAAAAGCACACACAAATTAACAAAAAAAAATTAACAGGTATTCAAGAAAACAGCTTGCATTTTAAGCTGCATAGTGTTACAGAATCACACACAATGTTAATCGTAAAAGGTATACATCACTTTAACTGACCTCAAACCCTAAAAAAAAAACAAATCTTAAAACAGCCTTATACAACAGGTAACACAGTCTTTATTCCAGTACTCTGTCTGCATTTTAAAGATTACTGCTGACACAGGTAAACAGTAAACTAAACTCTTATGTGCACTGGCCATGCTATTTTGGTTCAGGAAGATGTATCAAAGTTTGAAATTAAGGCTGTAGTTATTCTTCCAGAAATATGTGGCGTAATTCAGCAGGAATTAAACCAAAAATACTTTCCACACGATTGCAGAGGAGAGTCTTATTCTTAAAATACAGAATTCTTATAATGTGCATTTAAACGGTGTAAGAAATCAATTACCTAATATTTTCAGAAAAGAAAATTGTGTGATTTGGTGAGAAGTTTTCTTTATCCATGTATCTTGGTATATTTAAGATCAGTTTACAAATCACGATTGATATGTCATCGCTGTATCAGATGCCAAATTGAAATAGGGGGACATAGCCAAGTTCCTGTGAAGCATATAGCAGAGACCAAACTCAGATACTACAGTAGCACGCCAGAAGAAGGCACTGAACCAGTGTTTCACATAAAGAAACAAACAAACAAACAAACAAAAAAGGCTATGGAATGCTTTCAAGAAAAGCATATGCAATAAATAGATGCAAATGGAAGTTTAATTGCATTCTTTTTAGCCTCTTTTTGTTTATTCAAGATTTCAATATTTTAGAAAGGAATTATAAACATAGAATATTAATTCTATGAAACTAAAAAGTCCTAAAATTTAGGTCAAAATCATCTAATAAGTAAAAAGTGAAGTAATTAAAAGAAATGAGCAGAGGAAAAGCAACTGCTTCATGCTATACACAGTGGAGAAGAAACATCCCCCAATTGTGTGCATAACATGAAAGGTGTACTGTGGTCGTTACAACTTAAGTACCAGCAAGGCAAATATTCAGCAGTCTGGACCCATTTCAATAAGGATAATGGACAGACAGAGCAAGCAAGCAAAACTGCTTTATCAGTCAGGAACACACTAAAATCAGCAGAAGGCTGATGAGGACTACAGTGCAGGGCAAAGACAAATATGGGCAAAACATGATATGAACTAGAATTAACACGAACGGTTCTAACTCGAAAAACAGCAGCAGCACAGAAGTGTTAACACATCATTTACATATGCAAGACAAAGAAAATGCAAAACACTCGTATTAGTCTAACCAGTAACAAATATACATATGCTAAATACTCTGCTAAGAGGGGATGCTGAGAAGTTGGAGGTCCTTCTACATCTTCTACACTTCAGTGTTTACTGCTAAAGGTGCTCTTTAACATCGTTATCAATGACATTGATGGCGGAATTGAGTGCACCCTCAGCAAGTTTGCTGATGACACCAAGCTGAGTGGTGCAGCTGACACGGTGGAAGGAAGGGATGCCATTCAGAGGGACCTCTACAGGCTGGAAAGGTGGTTTCAGGTGACCCTGATGAGGTTCAACACGGCAAAATGCAGTTTTGCACTTGGGCCGGAGGAATCCCAGGCATCCCTACAGACTGGAAGGAGTGGTCCTTGAGAGCAGCCCTGTGGAGAAGGACCTGGGGTTCCTGATGGATGAAAAACTTAATATGAGCCTTCAGTGTGCCCTTGCGGCTCGGAAGGCAAATGGGATCCTGGGCTCCATCAAAAGAGGGGTGGCCAGCAGGGACAGAGAGGTGATTGTTCCCCTCTACTCTGCTCTTGAGAGGCCCCACCTGCACTACTGTGTCCAGGTCTGGAGCCCCCAGTACAAGACAGACAGGAAACTGTTGGAGAGTGTCCAGAGGAGCCACTAAGATGATCAGGGGACTGGAGCACCTCCCCTATGAGGACAGGCTGAAAGAGCTGGGCTTGTTCAGCCTGGAGAAAAGAAGGCTGCGGGGTGACCTCATTGCAGCCTTTCAGTACCTAAAGGGAGCCTACAAACAGGAGGGGAATCAACTCTTTGAAAGGGTAGATAATGGCAGGACAAAGGGAAATGGTTTTAAGTTGAGGGAGGGAAGATTTAGATTGGATGTCAGGGGGAAGTTCTTTACAGAAGTTCTTTACAGAGAGAGTGGTGAGGTGCTGGAACAGCTGCCCAGAGAAGCTGGAGGTGTTCAAGGCCAGGTTGGATGGGGCCCTGGGCAGCCTGGTCTGGTATTAAATGTGGAGGTTGGTGGCCCTGCATGTGGCAGGGGGGTTGGAGATTCATGATCCTTTAGGTCCCTTCCAACCCTGGCCATTCTGTGATTCTGTGAATCTATTTTAGCAGAGGGACTGGACTTGATGCATCTCCAAAGGTCCCATCCAACCCCTCCTATTCTGTGATACTGCAAAAAAATTCATTGGCGGTGTAGCCAATGAATTTTTTCTTTTTACAATTAGTAGAAGTGGGTTTGGAGCTCATTTTGCTTTTACAGAAGACATGATTATTAGTTTAGTCTACAGTATTTACCATCTGGTTTTTAATAACTTGCACATAAATGGGTCACTGTTCACAAACTTCTCAGTGTGCTCCTACATACACATGCCTAATTAGTTTCCTCTTTCTCTTTCTCTCTATGAGCCACAGTGGCGACAATTAACAGATAAATAAATCCTGGAGGAGTACATCAAGACAAGAAATTACAAATACTGATATATGTTATATTTTCTGCTGATCAAGTGAAAGCATAAAACTATTCTAATCAGCTTTAGTAGAACTTCTCAATTGCAGGGTTTTTGTTGCTGTTTCTGGTTGCTTTGTGTGGTTTTGGTTTGGTGCTTTTTTTTCCCCCGCTTCTACACACATGTCTCTCAAACAAACTGAAGGCATCTTGGAAACATGAGAAACAACAGATACAGTTTAAAAATTAGCTCTCCAGCTCTACAACCTGGCTATAATTCGCGTGGCTATTTGAGAATTTGCAAAAAACTACTTGAACAATTAAACTTTCTTTCGACCAACCTAGCAGAATGCCAAAGTACTGGCTATAATATATAAATATTTTTAATAAATTGTAAAATAAACAAACAAAACAGATTGTAGTCCCACTTAGAGAAAGGGCATCTCCTCATCCTAAAAAAAGACTTATAATACAGACATCAAGATTTTGTAATACTAACAGGTGTAACTACTCCAGGTGCATCTTCAGGACAATAGCTAGCTCACAATGCATCTATGTCACCCTTGTTTCTGAGCAAAAGACTGCATACCTAAATTAGTAGGTGGAATCACACTAAAAACTTATTTTTACAATAAGTTTATGCTACTGAAGCTGTGAATTTGATTCCACTAACTTACATGCCATGATTAAAATACAGTTAATAGGTGAAGAAAAGTAGGCCTTGTTTAAGATACAGTTCTCAAAACAATCAAGTATAATACAAGTATTTTAGGTTATAGATGTATTAGGCAGAAAACAGTACATGAAAGTAAGTTCAGATCATCATCCAAAATAATACTCTGCACGCAGAGCTCCTCTGAGATTTGCTAACAACCTAATTTCCTACAAAAAAAGAAATAGCAGGAAAAAAATCAAGTTAATTAGAAAGGACAGAACACAAATACAGTAACCCTAATTTTCTTTGTTACAGTTTCACAACACACACAAGCAGACACAGCCCAAGCACGATCACCAGTGACCATGAGATGCCCAAGCCGAGTACCCAGATTTAGCTGATTGCTAGAAAAAAATAATTAAAAAAAAAATGCATTCCACATTGCAACATATGGATCTTTTAAAAGTATGCTTTGGACAAGTCAGTGCAATTATTCTACAGCACTTGATTACCTACTATAAAAACAGTGACTGTAAGGGATTGCAGTGACAGCAGAATGGTATCTTTAATATCTGTCTTACCTAACAGCTTAAGACATTACCAAAAATCCAGTTCTGGCTTACAAAACTCTAAAGGTTTCTATGACTCTATGAAAGGTGGACCAACAACATTTTAGGTAAGTGACTTTCAGTTTATAGCAATACTCGTGACCCTACAAACAGTCTTCCTGCAAGACAGAAGAAGATGCAGCACAAAAAACTGATACACATACCAGGTAATTATTCCCATGTTTGGATTTGAGCATTCGTGTTACATCTTGTAGGTTGTGGAGGTAAGTTTCCTCAGAACAGTCAGCAGGGAAGGATACAGCAATGATCCGTTCCGTGATGTAAGTGAGGTCAAGTTCATAGCCTTCCTCCATAATGTGATCAAAGTCTGCACTTCGGCACTTTCTGTGAAGAAATTAAATGAAGCAGTTCAGAACAAAGCAGCAGGAAATAAATAGTATATTAATGAGAAGAAACTGCAACTTGGACTCACACAATCAGCATCTGATTTTTTTCAGAATTTATACTGAAAATAAAAAATTATTGAATACCATAAAGCTCAAATTCTTCAGTATGTAAATGAAGTAGCTAAATACCAGAGTTCTTCACATCAAAACTATAATGAAGAAAAAAAAAAACCCTCTGCAATCAATAATACAGAAAAACAATAAGGTTCATACAAGCAATTTTTATAAACTCCAGCACAAAAAAAAGTAGGAGTAGAAAAAAAAAACAAAAAACCCACAATATACAAACATGACTGCACATCTCTGTCCTTCTATAGAATTCTGCAAATGCTTTCTGAACTGGTAGATTTACTGGCTGTCTCTGAAACACTGCAGATAGACTCCATCTTGAAATCTTCTCTGAGTAACACTTGGTGGATCTAAAACTAGCCCCCAAACTGTAATACACACATGCAATTAATCTCACAGGTTAGTCAGTTTGCTATTTCTCCAGGTTGAATGTGAAAACAGCCACCTTACCTTAATGGAATAATCAGAAGATGACAGTCGTAAATTAGGTGTGAATGGGGAAAGGAATAAAAACAGACTTGCTATGATGAGCTTAGGAGCAGCACTCCAGAGTCAGGGGTGAGACCAATAGCCCAGATGAAGTGCATCTACACTAATGCACACTGCATGAGCAATGAACAAGAGGAGCTCAAAGCCATGGTGCAACTGGAGAACTATGACTCAACTGCCATCACTGAAACATGGTGGAATCATTGTCAGAACTGGGGTGCTGCAATGGAGGGCTATAAGCTCTTTAAAAGAGATAGGCAAGGAAAGAGGGGCAGTGGGGTGGCTCTCCATGTCAGAGAGCGTTTCAACTGAATAGAGCTCAATACAGGTAATTGTAACATAGAGTCATTATGGGTGAGGATAAGGGAAAGGCCAACGAAGCTGACACTCATAATGACTCGACTGACATCCTAGCAGGAGTCTGTTATAGACCACTCAACCAAGATGAAGAGACAAAGAGTTCTTTCTATAGGCAGCTTGCAGAAGTCAGGTCAGTAGTGCTGGTTCTTGTGTGGGAGTTGAACTCGCTCAGCATCTGTTGGAAATACAGCAGAGAGAAAGCAGTCTAGGAATTTCCTGGAGTGGACAGAAGAGGACTTCCTGATACAAGTGGTAAGAGTCTACTAGAGAAACACTCTGTTAGATCTGCTGTCTGCAGAGAAGGAATGGTCGGAGATGCGGTGGCTGGAAGCTGTCTTGGGCATAGTGACTATAAAATCAGGGTCAGAAAAAAATGGTATCCTGGAATTCTGGAGGCTACACTTCTGTTTAGAACAGATAGGAGAATCCCTTGGGAATCAGTCCTGAAAAGCAAAGGGGTACAGGATGGCTGAACATTGTTCAAGAAGAAATCTTAAAGGCTCAGGAACAGGCTATCCCCATGTGCCATAAGATGAGCTGGTGGGGAAGAAGTTTGGCCTGGTAGAACAGGGAGCTTTTGCTGAGACTTAGAAAAAAAAAGAGTGTTTATGATCTTTGGAAGAAGAGTCATGCAAACTGGGAAGAGTATAAGGATGCCTACGCTGAGGGAGAATTAGAAAAGCAAAAGCCTAGCAAGAACTTCATCTGGCCACCACTGTTAAAGACAAGAAAAAAACGTTTTTGCACATATATTAACAGGAAGAGGGGAGCCAAGGAGACTCTCCTGTGTTTACTAGATGCAGCAAGGAACACTGTCACTGGGGACAAGGAAAAGTCTGTGGTTCTCAATACCTTCTTTCTTTCTATCTTTAACAGTTACACCACTTATTTCCAGGGTACTCAGCCTCTTGAGCTGGAACAGTAGGATAGGGAGCAGAATACCCACAACTTAGGAGGAAACAGCGAGCTGATACTCCAACTGGCCTGTCACATGTCCATGGGGCCAGACAGAATCCACCCAAAGGTACTGAGGGAGCTGGCAGAGGTGACTGCTAAACCATTTTCCATCATTTATCAGCAATTTAAGTCAACTGGGGGTGAAAATGGATCTGGGGGTCTTAGTTAACAGCCAACTGAACATGAGCCAGCAACATACCCAGCAGACCAAGAAGGTCAGTGCTATCCTCACCTGTATGAGAAACAGCATAGTCAGAAGGACTAGGGAGGTGATCATGCCTCTGTACTTGAAACTAGTGAGGCCACTCCTTAAGTATCATGTTCAGTTTTGGGTCCCCGACTACAAGAAAGACACTGAGACTCTGGAGCGTGACCAGAGAAGGGCAACAAAGGTGGTTAAGGGTCTGGAACACGAGTCTTATGAAGAGAGGCTGAGGGAACTGGGATTGTTTGGTCTCGAGAAGAGGAGGCTTAGAAGATCTTATCCCTCTCTATAATTACCTGAAAGGATGCTGTAGCAAAGTGGGGATCTGCCTCTTTTTCCAAGTAACTAGAGACAGAACAAGAGGGAATGGCCTTACATTGCATCAGGGGTGGTGGAATATTAAGAGAAATTTATTCTCAGGAAGAGTGCTGAGATACTGGAAGGGGCTGCCCAAGGAGGTGGTGGAGTCACCATCTGTGGAGGTGTTCAGAAAGGGTAGATGTCACACTGAGAGTCATGGTCTAGAGTAACTACAGGCATAGCTTGATGGTTGGCCTAAAGCATATTAATGGTCTTTCCAATCTTAATGATCTTATGATAAGGCAAAAGCAAGCTCTTCATGTAAGCCCAGTTCTTTTCTCAAAGGACTATATAAATGTTCTTTGCACAGCAGAATATGTCTTGCAGAAGGCTGTTCTTAAAAATCTAAACCACAAATAACAAAACCTAAAACATGACAGCAATATGTGAATTTATCACACCAAATATTAAAGAAATACCTACTGTGATCCTTTGTCACAACTGAAAGAGTTCTTCAAAACACTGCTGGAATTCTGAAACAAATAAAATAGAAAGGTCAATACAGTAACTTTCTTGTTGTGTTTATGTCAATGTTACCATCTTTTTTCCTCACTTTTATTATGATCCTACTGTGGAAAATTATAACAATAGGATAAGAGAATATCATTTTCTTACATTTTAACCACAACTGTAAACACTGTGGTTATGACCAGTTTATGTCCAGCTCTTCATGCAGAACATACATGAAGTCACTACTGTCAGAAAAGTACTGGCTGCCTAACACAGTTAAAGTCTTTTGTGCTTTCCATGATAACTGTGCACTAAGATGAGAACAGACGTTCAGTGGATTTCTGAGAAACTGGAGCTTGTATTTCTGTATAAACCCATTAAGCTGCCATCGTGAAAATAGTGAAAAGCATACTGAATTTATTCCAGTAACAGTACTGCAAGTCTGAGCAGAACAAAGAGAATAAATGATTTTGCTTTGTGAGAATTTACTGCGTCATTTCTGTAGTCCTTTTTCTTCAGTAACAGCAAACATGCATTAGAGTGCCATAATTTTCTCCCACATTAACCTTATAAATAGCATTTCTCTAATTAAATTTTAGCTATCTAAGAATTCAGTATTAATGTGATAGTCACCTAAGCTCCCTTTGTACATGATGGAGGGAAATGAAGACACCCAGAAGGGACAGGATCCTTCCAGTATAATTTTTAGAAAAAAAAAAAAAGATAGCTGTTGCTGCACTAACATTAAATAAAAGGGGAGAAAATATTTAACATCTTTTTATACAGAAAATCAGAAATTCATTTCAATATCAACTAACTTCATTAGGAGAAAGATTTCATCCATCTTCCTGTCCTGACTTTATATTTAGTACACAGAAAAATGCACAGAAAAGATTATATAGAGGAAGTGTAAGAGCTGCAACAGTAATGACCTACCTATTTTGGCTACACGTACAATGTATTTCCAAACCAAGTGATTTCTGCTAGGCTTTAAAACTTTCTACTCAATGGTCTAAAGCTAGGACACATCCAAGCACAGGACTAGCATGTCCCCTCCCAAAACTTCTGGTTATCAGCTGTTTCTGTCAGTTTCAAACATCTGATGGCATAAGGTACACCTCATTGAGGTGCTTGGTTCCAGTTCCACAAATTCCTCTTAAATAAAACTACAGAAAACAGGAACATTTTGTGGCATTTTCAGCTTCTTTTTACTCAATCCTTTCTTGGGATCTTGAAGACTGCAGGTAATACTCCATGCGTGCTACAGTAAGTAAACAACTGTAATAAGTTTTTACAGCATTTCTCACAAAAGGAAGGTCAGTAATCTGTACAGAACAGAAAGGCACGGAGAAGACCATGCATAAAGGGAAGAGCATCCCCATCCATGGGCAGCCATTTAAGACAGCAACTGCAGGCTGGTACCCCCCAGAATGGATGACTTCAAAGAAAATCTTGTGAAACTAGACCTGATTTTCATTTAGTGTTGGGGTATAACAGGGAAGAAAAAATAATGGCTCAAAATGGGGTGTTTAATTACACTGTACTTCGCGAGTTGCCAGTAGGACAGAATACCCAGATACTGTTCTTCCTTTGTGTTTCTCACACAGTTCTTTTCTCCTGCTTCAAGGGAATTGCCTGGCAATGCAAACAGTATATCAGTCATCTGAGAGGCAGATTTCTGAACACAGAAAACTTCAATTTATCTACAAATTCACTGTAAAGGATTTTCAGGTATACAGACACACAGATAAAATCCAATTACATAAAAAATATCCCTAAGTAACAAAAGAGAGTTATTTGGCCATATAAATTTAGCTACAGTCTTTCCACAAAAGCCAGGGGTGAAGCAATTGCTTTTCAAGTGACAACTGTCTTCTCTCTAGACACAGAATCATGCCACTGAGCAACAGTTTGTGGGTCCTGTGCCATTGCCCTTTCCCTGTGAAAACTCAAGTCATGCAGCTCTTTCTTTTCACAGCCTCCTTACTGATCCTTTTATCATCTTTGGTTCCTGCATCCAGTTTGTTGTAGAGCCAGTTCTATCCACTTCGGGGTACTGCAGAAAAAACAGGACAATGAACTACACCAATCATTCAGGTGTTTCGTGATGATGACTCCCTACTGAAACAGCTAAAAAAAAAAGCTGCAGTGAAACATAAGCTTCCATTTCTTGGAAGAGAACGAAAATTTGCAGAATCTTTTGGTGTCTGTTTTTAGATTGATTTCTAATGTGATAAGGAAAAAACGTGCACTGTGAATATAAATGTCTTTCTGTTAGTGTATATCTATTTTTACAGTATATATTTTAATATATAAATAAAACTGCTTTGGAGTTGACTCTCACTTCTACTCATCATTTCTACTACAAGTTGCTATTTGTTTAGTAGTACTCTCTGATTCTGTTCTGTACAATGAACCTGCAAAAAACGCAGGGGTCAGTATTGGGACTGATGCTCTTTAATATTTTCATCACTGACATAACAGTGGAATTAAGTACACACACACATTTGAGAGATGGGATGGCATGCAGAGAGATTTAGACAGGTTTGACCAAAGGGCCCAGAAGAACCTCACGAGGTTCAAGAAATCAAACCTTGGTCTTGCACCTCGGTTGCGGCAACCCGCATTATTAATACAAGCTGGGGGGTGAAAGGGTGGAGCACAGCCCTGCCAAAAAGAAACTAGGGGTACTGGTGGATGGGAAGCTGAACATGAGCCAGCAATGTTTCCTTGCAGCTCAAAAAGACAAGCATAGCCTGCACTGCCTCAAAAGAAGTATGACCGGCAGGTCAGGAGAGGTGATCCTGCTTCTCTACACTAGTGAGACCTCATCTGGAGTACTGCATCCATGTGCTGAGTCCTCAGTAAAGGAGAGAAATGAACCTGTTGGAGCACGTCCTGACAAGGGCCACAACAAGGATCGAAGGGATGGAACACCTCTCCTATGAGGACAGGCTGAGAAAGCTGAGGTTGTTCACACTGGAGATGAGAAGGTTCCAGAGAGACATGATACCAGCCTATCAAGATCTAAAGGGCAGCTGTAAGAAAAAAGGGACAGACTCTTTGATTCTTTGATACAGCAAGGGGGAACGGTTTCAAACTATAAGAGGGAAGATTCAAACTGGATATCTGAAAAACATTTTTTACAATAAAGCTAGTGAAGCACTGGAGCAGTTTGTCCAGAGGTGATGGATGCCCTGTCCTGGGAACATTCAGGTTCACACTGGATCATGCTCTGAGCAACCTGATCTAGCTGTAGTTGTCCCAGTTCACTGCAAGAAAGCTGTACTAGAAGTCTTGTAAAGCTCCTTTCCAACTCAATTCTATGATTTGATGAAGTAGCACCTCCTGCAGAATTTACAAATCCCAGCTTGATGTTTTCCTGGTAAAACCAGCCTGACCTCTAGTTGCTAGCAAAGCTGCTTCCATCCTTCTTCCCTAAAACACATCATCAAGACAGGCCAGGCTGCCCTGTACAAGTGAACTGTAGAGCTCTGTAGTTTAGTTCTGGGGCACTTACATTTGGAGATTCATCTGCCAATCTGATTGGGATAGCAAAAAATCAAGCAAAGCAGAAAGATCATTTTCCAACTCACCTATTCCCAAAGCTTAAAAGCTTCTTGCACAGCTGGGAGTCCAACCCATTTCCTCTTGGCCTCTTTAAATAATTGAAGTTTGTAATTAAGAAAAGGCACGTAACAGTTTTTTTCTACTAAGGGTACTTCAAACAAGAATACTGAATGTGCTCAAAGTCCATACTTAAGAATGGAGTATAATTAATGCTTTACTTCACATAGAGCTATACAAATACATATTCATAGGTGGAAATTCTAGTATTTCTGAACCCTTAGTGTCAAGATTGAGATTTCACACTGAATGTCACAAAGCTAACAAACCAGCCCTAACCACTGCTGCACAACACTACAGAAAAACCTTGGCAGATGCAATCTGTCTCTTGCACACAGAGCAGGAACACACCATCACAGGTGAGTTAGCCATGGCAACACGCAAACTACAAACGTAGCCAGGATACTCAGAAGTTTCTTTTAAGTCATTCCAGGTGAGTTCCATCTCACTAGGAAGTAACATGCATACCTCCCTTAATACACACCATCATGTCAATAGTAGACATTTCGCAGCGCTGTATTATTGTATGTTATTATATCAGAACAGAAAAAGATGAGTAGTACAGAGAGCTCACTGCATCTGTTGACAAAAAGGTGAGAGTAGGTCACAGTGCTGCTCAAATAATACTAAGATTACTCAGAGAGAGATCTAAGAAGCTATATCACCCAAGTAGGACAGCAAAGAAATTGACCAACACTTCAACACTGTCATTAAGGGAAGCAGACAAGCAGATCAGAAGAAAGCTAGCAATCACACGGTGTTTACTCCATCTCTGAGGCAGTGTGACACTGGAAGTACAGAAAAAGCCATTCTTGTTCCAGTGAAAATGCATTCAGGGATTATTATTTTTTTAAATAAAGACAGACCATATTGCTATTTCAATCATCTCTCCTCAGATTAATATAAAGCTGCAGCAAAGACAACTTTTATACAATTTGTAAGAAATCTTTTCGCTTGCATACAAATGGTGGAAGAGAGAGCAGAAAGGACAGTAAAGCCACTGTGAAAGCCTCATCTACAGAACAGAACAAAGTCCCCAGGAAAGTAAAAGCCCAAGTAGTGCGATGTGAGCTTTGCACATTGCTACCATTCCTTTTCTGTATGTAAACTTCTACCTCTAACCTTACAGCTGTTTCACACAGCTCCCTGCAAGAGCAGAGTTGCACTGGGAAACTTACTATGTCTGTATTAAAGTGTTATCATATTAAGTATTATGTAAGGAATTTACCTCTAAACTAAAACAATACATGTGCTCCACCTGTGGTTGTAGTACAGTTTCATAATTACTTCAAAGATCTGAATGAGTTTTCTGAATGAATACTACCCACAGGCAATTAAACTAAGCACAGAAGATGCAGTAGGACACAAAAATATCTACATTAATTCACACCAAATGCATTAAAGAAGAGCTCTGTACAAGTCCTGTACAGCATGACTTTGTAACACCTAACCCGAAATTCCGCTATGTATAAACTTGATTTCCTCACTCTGTAAAAAGAACGGTGATGTTCACAGTGGAAAGAAAATAACGTGGTGGCAAAAAGGAAGGCTTCAGAAGAAGATCTCTTGAGTTTCTGTCTGACTTAGTTGAAGATGCAAACTGAAATAAACTTTCATCCCAAATTTAGCCCCTTGCTAAGAGGTAACCACATGTACTGATGCTAATTCTTGGACAGAAAGAGACAAAACCACTTCTGGCACTTCTTAAAACAAGAAGCCTCATTTATTTGGTTTTACATTATGTCCGCTTTGAAATGCAATAAAACATTGGTTCTGACACTGCATAGAATTCAAGCAAAACTCTCTATATTGATGGTTACACAGCAATAGGGGTTGATGTTAGAAACATCCTTTTAGTAGCCACATCGGTAGGTGAAAGCAATAGAGTTTTTCCTCTCCTGGACCAGACATTACGGAACAAGATGGAAAGGAGATGGGAGAAGAGAGAAGAAATCCCAGAGCAAAAAAAATATTCAGCCAGGTTAAATCAATCTCTTCCAATTTTGATAAGAAAACAAAAGGAGAACAAGAGTATATGATGGTCTCACACTAAGCTGCACCACACTGCTCTTTCAATCCCCTTCCTCAAAACATCACAAGGAGAACATATGACGAATAAAGGCTCAAAGGTTGAGGTAAGGACAGGAAGATCACTCACCAATTACCATCATAGACAAAAGAGACTTTGCATGGGGAGATTAATGCAATTTATTGCCAAGTAATAACAGACTAGACTATAGAGTAGAACAGTGAGGACTCAAAGCAATTTGAAACACCTTCTTTCATCATCCACCCTATTCTACCTCCTCCTCTCAAGCAGTGCAGGGGAACAGGGAATGGAAACTGCTGTCAGTCCATAACACTTTGGCTCTGCTATTCCTTCATCTTTACTCTCATCCCCTGCTCCATCGTGGGATTCATCCCACGGGACACTGTCCTTCCTAAACAGATCCCACGTGGGCTTCCCACAGTTCTTCAAGAACTGCTCCAATATGGGTTTGTACCACAGGCCCATCCTTCAGGAGCAGACTGCTCCAGCATAGGTCCCAGACTTCCTGCTCCACCACACACTCCTCTCTACTGGCTGCAGCTCTAGGGCCTGCTCCTGGCTCATCCAGGCAGTAGCTGCATCTAGCCCTACTGTAGACATCACTTTCTTATGAATCCCACAGTCTTCCAGCTTTATACATCCCCTGTTTTCCCAAACAAGGATGGTCATTCCTAGTGCATTAGTTGGTAACTTTTTTCTTTTCTCCAACAACCTGCTCACACACATCCACGTTCTGAGTACCACTCTGTGAGAAGTAGCTAGTAAATATTTCAGGCACTGTATCAATGGAGCAATACTAACCAGTACAAAATACACTAGGTGAGAATGCCAACAGCCTGCCACTAAGACTGTCTTCTAAGTGGCTGGAAGTGCATGAGCTACAGAAAAAAGGAAAAAAACCCTGAGAGGAGAAGCATCTTGGCTTGTCTAATAAGTTATCAGTACAAAAACGACCAGCTCTTTCAGATACAACAGAAAAAGCTAAAAGTGCTCAACTAACAGAAAATTGTCTGCAATTAGCTTCCTCACTGTAAGTTCACTAGAAATCTGTGGGTAATATTATAGATGCAACTAAAGAGATGGCCTGAGTTGTAGAAAAAACATTATTGCTACCCCAAGCAAACAAACTGTACCACTAATAAAGAAACCTCTGTGAAAGTCTGCTGCCTATATACGTATGCAGCCAAGGATCAGAACTTTTTACATTCTGCAACTGACATCAGAAGAAGCCTGCAATACTGAACTACAGGCAGCAATGGAAAACAAAAGCAATGTGCACAAGGGCACTATGAAACAGATGTTCATTTACTGCAATAGAGAGCTGTTCCTGAATGGAATAATGAATCGGTGAAGACCATGCTTTCAAGTCCTTCCTTCTGCTTCTTCTTAAATGTCAATTTCACCTTTACAGAGGTGAATCAAATGCCTGCACCACAGAGTTAACTATCTGTATCTCCCACGACTTATTTCAGCATCAAAGAAACTTGACATTTCTATTGAAATGACAAAGGATCCCAAAAATTCTTTTGTTCTTTCCTTGTTTCACTTATTTCAGAGTCTGTGATAAAAGTATATTTATAAGTGCTATCAGTATTGAAATATGGAATACTTCCCATTTGCAGAAATTTGTACATCACTTAGAAGATCAAGTTCTGCTGCACTAAATGCATTTACTACCACTTGTACCGTTAACACTAAGAAGCAATGATAACAAAGAGCTGGGAGGGGACATTTCATTTGTTCTGTAAGTAACACAGCACACTAGAACAAATTAAGGCAAAAGGATACTATACTGACCACAATAAAAAACTTACACTTTTCTTGCTATAAAAAACCTGTCTAGTCTAGAATATCTTAAGACCTTTGAATGCAATCAGTCTACAAAGATTTTAATATTTCTCTTTAATTCTCCATTACCTGACTTCAAAATAAGGAACACAGAGTCCATTACCTGGACAGAAGGGGGGTGAATGGGACGGTGGGCACGACACTATGTAGTTAGGAATCCTAATCAAAGACAATTTCACACAGTGTAGAAACCAAAGTGTGTGCTCTGAAAAAGGCTGGCAAAGACTTTGTGAGGATGTAATAAAAATGAATAACCACAGAAAGTAAATCAATCAGGCCAAGGAAAGGAAAAATAAATAAATAAAATGCAATTACTTACAGTTCTGGTTACATGATTTTCAAAGGCTTCCGAGTTATTTGCCTGCAAATGAGAAAAACAAGCTTTATTTTTCCAGCTAATTTAAACGTGTGCTAACAAAGCCCTCCTAGTGTATTCAAACAACAAATGAAACCATTTGTTCAGAAGTATGCATATATTCTACAGTATTAATAATCAAACTACCTCTCAAACACATACAGAACACGAACTGGTTTTACGTCATCACTCCCTGAATTCACATCTTTTAAGCCAACATTCAGCACTGAGGGTTCTTTACTCCAAGTTACAGCATACACAGAAAGAAAGGTATGAAACTGTGCATTCCCTTGCACTTGTTCAGTCTCCCACCCTTTGCCTTTCTATGGAACAGAACACACATGTGGGTGTTGATAAAAGTGAACCACACAGGCACAGTGTAAGTACTCAGTAAAATCTAGGTTCACAGCTTTAAAACACATTAAGTTCTATCTGCTGAAGTTTAAAATAAACATTTTTTAAAATTCAGAATCTACTACTATGAAAATACGACAGGAAAAAAAAAAAATCACCAGAGGTAAAATCATCCATCAGTGCATTATTTTAAATTATAACTACAATCACGAGCACAAAATTAAGGCAATGTAATGCAACAGTAAAATTGGATTAAAAGATCTCAAAATGTCTGCTGACGAGTCCAATAACGACAAAATCTGGCATTTCATAAAATAACCTAGATTCAGTATTTCACTATTCAGGATTATATTGTGAGAATAACACAACCATTTCACCTTACAAAAAAAAAACAACAACAACACTAATGAGAGAATTAAGTTATAATGGAACTAAACTAGTGCTATGGAAGACTTTACCAAACTTCACTGCATTCTGCTTCACAAACCTGGAAGAATTCCACTGTGCATAAGGAAATATCTAATGTTTAACTAATTAAAATTATTGTTTCAAGAGAAAATTTCAAATTCTGTGCAAAACACCAACAAGGTTTTACCCAAAAAGCCAATAAGATTACAGCCACTCTGCTGTGTACACATCTCAAACTCCTTTTGTTTATTCCCCATGCCATGTGTATTTGCATTTTAGGCATCTTAGTTGAGTCTCTGATCAAACTTTTATTCAATAAGTGGCTGGAATTCTTCATGCTGCTTCTCAGGAGACCTCCTGCTGACTTCTGATCCTTCTTCTGGCTTTAGGCATTGAACCAATAAAAGTCAAATGAGGCTCCCCCTCTACAAGCAACTTTAGTTGAAAGCTCGCTTTACCAGCTCCGCAAGCCTGTAATTAAAGATGTTCTTCCCCTCCTTTGACAAACAGACCCCATCAGTTCCCCAAAAAAAGCCAAATCCCTGGATATGACACAACCACACCATACATTGATCTGCATGTTCTACTGGTTCTTGCAAAGCCTTTTCCTTTAACCAGTAGGAACAAAAAGAAGACCACCTGCACAACACAACCTTTTACAAATGCTCCCAAACTCAAAAAGGTTTCTGTAGTCCTTCATGATACACCTTGGACTGCTTGGACTGTCCTTGACAGTGCTGTTAATGCCCACATGAAAGAACCAGTTTACAGTAGTCTATGTGCTCTATAAGGCTTACTAGTCTCTAGCATCCTTAACATAAACCCTGGGTAGGTAACATACC